TATATATAATATGTATGTCTGTGCTTATATACAGCCATCAGTCTTTCAAAGATCATGACGAAGAACCCATTAGCTCGTCTTAAGACAGGAAGAAAAAAATGAATAGCCTTTTATAGCATACGAAATCTAGAAGTTGGCTTCCTTGACGCATTTCCGATAATTGGAAATGGAAATAAAAGTGTCGACACAAAGAAAACTAATGTAATTATTATCGATTGCCACGCTGCGAATACCTACAAAGGCAACCTGGCCAGAGCGAGAGGGGAGGATGGGTAGAGCGCGATAGATAGAGATGTAGCATTGCGCCCATATGGAATGCAGCTTTAAGGTTTCTCTCGAATACGCGTGATGGATGACAGAGCACACTGACTGAGCACTGGCAGAGCAAGAGTGAGAGAGTGGGAGAGTGAGTGAGAGAGTGAGTGAGTGAGTGAGCGAGTGAGCTCGAGTCGACAGCTCTGCAGTTGCCATTAGCAGACAATGTCGAGCTGTCAGACAATCGAAGGCGCATCGCTGGTTGAGTGGGTAAAGTGGTTGGCAGAGAAAGAAGGAGGTGTTCCACTGAGCCTGTGCCTCTGCTTGTGCCCGTGCCCGTCCCCGTTCCTGCTCCAGCCTTTGTTTTGTTCATCAAGAGCACATTTTATTGCTTTATGAGTTTAATGAAGTGTTGCCCCAGCACATTCACTGACTGTACCCCCACGCACACGCAGCTCGAGCTCTTTCTGTGCCTGTGTGTGTGTGTGTGTGTGTGCGTGTGGGCAACCCTTCGGTTGGGTTGGGTTCGCTTTCACTTTTTCTAGAGGCTGGAGCAGGCTTGCAACATATCAAACAAAATTCTGACAGCATCTAACTGACTAACTGACTAACTGACAGACTGGCTGACTGGCTGACTGTCTCACTGAGTGATTGATTGATTGACTGCATGACTCGAAGTTTGTCAGAAGTCTCGTGCCATGCTTTCCGTCGCATGTAATGCATAAAGAATGAAGCTTAAATAAAAGTTGGAAGATGAGAAATAGGATTAACTTGTCACACAATTGAATTTAATTTTCCATACACACACAGACACACCCACCCACACAGACACACACACACACACACACACACACACAAAGCAACTTGAAAGCCGCCCGCTCGAGTGCCAGACAGCTACTTCAGTTGCCTGTTTTTGGGGGCTACGGATTGCTGTTGTTGGTCTATTACTTTCACATTGGGGAATCGAGCATTTTCATTTTCCTCTGTCTCCTAGCCTCCCTCCCTCTCTCTCTGTCTTACTCTCACTCTCCATTGTGGTTATCTTGTGCTATGGTTTTCGTAATGAAATTACAAGTCCCTCAGATTTGTCAAAGCAAATCAATACTTTCATATCGAACTCTTTATGGCGCTCGCCGCTTGCTGCTGCCGGCATATCCAGCTCCAGCTGCCTCTTCCTTGTTCCCCATCTCCCTTTACTCCACGTTCATTGTCCTGGCAAAGATTTGTGGAAGCAAGTTAACCTTTCTCCTTTTCATTTCGGCAGTCCGATTGATCTGCGTGCCCTGCTCTAATATTTTCATGTGCTACAATCAACTCTGAGTAATAGCATTACAAGTTGAACCGCTTAGCAGGGATAGCCCATAGCCAGGTAAATGAATGTTTCTCATTCAACTGTTGCTTACAATTTGTGCTTACAAATGAAGGTTTATCATCAACTTTAAGCGAACCAAGGTTTATTGTTGGAATATTAGAGATAATGGCGAAATCGATGTTGATTATAGATAGATACCTAATAATAAATATATAATGTATCGATAAAAATCGATATAATTATACACATTTTTACATCCACCTCTATTTGTCTGCATGTTTGCGTATAGACTCATTAAATAAGCGGGGAGATTAATTGACTTACTGATAATCCTTAACCTGTAATGCATTAGATATATGCAAAGGTATGGCCATTGTCGCTTACTATTAACAGAAGTACATCGATAAATATCGTGTAAGTACAAACATTTCACGATGGACTCTTTGATCAGTGAGCAATCAATCGTTATTCGTATACATATGCAGAGAGTGCTAGGGATATATAAGCATTGGATGATGTGGAATCGTTTAAGATGTTGCCAGTACACTAGATTGGCCATTTATCGATACCTACTACCGTTAGTCGATTATCGATTATTGATAATTCTAGAAATGCTAATAAGTACAATACCCTATAGGGTAGCTATACACTCGTTATGGATATGCCAATAAGTACAATACCCTATAGGGTAGCTATATACTAGTTATAGATATGCTAATAAGTACAATACCCTATAGGGTAGCTAGACAGTCAACCTCTCTAGCTAGATGTCATGGCCGTGGCTCCACTGCAGCTAACTGTCGCTGATGATGCAATTAAAGCTGCTTAAATGATGTGAATCATCTATCAATTAGATGACTGCAATCCTTCCCACTCGTGTCTGTGTGTCCAGCTGCTGCTGTTAAGCGGACATTGGCTATGCGTTGCACATTTCACGTTCGGTTTTTATCCTTTGATTAGCGACAACAAAGAGCCGACAGTCGTTCATTAACTGTCACACAAATATGACAATCAATGCAGACAGAAAGAGAGGGAGGTAGAGAGCGAGAGAGAGAGAGAGCAGCCGAGTTGGTTGGGGTTGGGATGTACGCCATATGTTAGGACTTAGCCGTAACTGTTGCTAGGTAAAGATCAAGCTTAATTAAATAGTTTGGGCTTGGGTAAGAGCTCCATTGAAATCCTTTTGTTTTCCCTTTTTATTGTGGCTGTTGCGATAGACTTCACATAAAACTGTCTAATCCATTTGCCCGATACTTATGCACGCCTGCACTCGGGGGATTAATAAGCCCAGCCCCAGACCAGTATCTGGCAACAGCAACCACCGTCATCATTATCAAGCTGGCTGGCAGCGCACCACCAAAATCAATTTCGACTGTCAACTGTCAATCAGGCAACAATTCAATCACGCAACGCTCTGGGAGTTCGACTGCTTCATCTGCTGCCTCTGGAGCTGCTTTGCGGTTCGGCTTTAAGGCATTATAAATTATGAAGAAACCGAAATGTGGCGGGCGTGAGGCTATAAAGAAAAGCAGGAAACGCAAAGAATGGCCCATGAAATCCGAACTGGCTGCGTAGCGTCCTCAATGCCCGAGCATCATTCATGTCGCTAACATTTGCTCAAGAGATTTTTATGAATTACTCGCACAATTGTTACGACAAGCCCCAGTCCAGCCCAGCCCAGCCCCGCCCCGCCCACTCGCTGTCGCCTTTCCCTGGCCTAAACAGATTTTTATTGGTTATGTATACGAGTACGTATTACCATTTACAACCGGAGCGATACTTGACCCCTTCCCAACATCCCAATGTCGCAAAGGCAAGGGCTGAATGTAGGGAGAGTAGGCGGCAGGGGGCTGGCGGTAGGGCCTCGGCTAGGGGTTGGCAGGGCGAAKGGGGTAGCTTGACAAGCTGCTGCTGCTACTGCTGCTTAAATTCGCAGTCAAAACACATGTCACGTATTTTGCTCGTAATTATGGCAAACGTGAGAAATTTCGTTAAGATTTTCTGGCAACATTTCTATACCCTAACTTCTACGAGGGAGTTCTCTACTCTGAGTTGCATATGGAATATGAAAGGGTTACTTGTTCTGGAAATTCTATAGCATAGTATTGTTGTGTTGAATGAAACTAGTTTAAGAACGAAAGGAAGTCAAAGCATCTATTAGAATTAATATTACCAATGAATGAGTCCTCCTTAAGCCTACCTAGATGATTGACCTCGCTTCATCAGACCTCAGAACTAGTTCAAGGATTTTCCACACACTTCTTGAGCTACCAAATATTTTAAACTATTTCCATATCGGTCGATAGCTTAAATCGCCGTCGCTATTCATGTAGTTATCGGAAATGTTATCAATTTTGCTTGACCACCCTTTGTATGGGTTTTCTCTGATATTCTCTGTTATACAAGTTGTGCATCTAGTAAGTTCCAGAGTATTCAAAGCTCGCTTAGCTCTACTCAATTTGTTCCGACTTGGTGTTTAGTGCTTGCCTCTAGGTATAATTTTTGGCGTTTTCATTTTGCTTAACGCTCCGACCTTCCACACCTTAGCAGCCCCTATTTTCAGCCCTTTCTCTTCCTCTCTCTATTCCTTTCTCTCCCCACAATGCTGCCTGTTAACATGTGTATCCACTTGTAGACTCTCACAGTTGGCAAATGTCATTTGATAAATGACTGCGAAAGGTTTGTCGCTTGTTGTTGTTGGTGCTTAAAAACGTCTTGACCTTTGACCCTTGACACGCTAGCATCAATCAGAGCGCTGAGTGCAAGCCGTAGCATGCTTGAAGCCCCAAATGAACTGGAAATAAAATCGATCTCAAATGGCTGCATTCACATGAATGCAATTCAGTTCAATTGATTCTGTTTTATTATTTCCTCAGCAGATACTTGATAGGGTTTCAGATATTTTTGCCAAAGGTCTAGCTGATGCTGATGCTGCCATCCTGAGCTGCAGTCAGCTGCTGCAAGCTCTTTATCAAATCAGCTATGAGCCTCTGGACGTTGTTCATGAAATTTCTGACCAGATCACGACGCGTTGAGTTTGCTCCTGCTCCTGGTGCTAGTGTGGATGTGTCCTCTAAGGCTTGGGCCATGCTGCAGGCCGTCAGCACTGGAGGAAAAGTCACTCAATTAGACCATGTATGTGTATATGTTGCTGACGTTATTCAACACTTACAGCTGCACACCAACAGCAAGTATATCAATTTGTTGAACATTCTTGTTGTGTTGAAGCATAACTAAAACATTCGGCAATTGGGCCTAGCACTAAATAGTTCCGCACGCTCGTTAGCTACGTGCTGACTGAGACTCGGGCAGCTCACGTAGAGGCGCGATTAGCTCGTCCAGTGTTCCACAATGCCAGCTAAGGCTCAGCTCAGCTCGAATGCCGTGAAACGTCAGACACTAAAATCGAAAAGTGATAAAATGTTTTGAAATTGAATCACACTTTGTTTGTGTTTGCTGAAACGGAAGTTGAGGTAGAGGATTCAGCTAATGTTTCCATATACAACTTCCATAACTTTCCTATAGCTTTGCTTAGTTCATTTGTATTTCGAACTCTACGTTCATCTCAAATTGAGTTAATCAGTTTTTTTGATCTTGTAATACGACTCTTGTGAAAAGGTATTACGTTTGCATAACTTTAGGCTCCTTGAATCATTGTAGACATTTTGTATACTTGCTGTGTCCATAGTTGCCACAGATTCAACAACCTTTTGCTCTAGTTGGAACTCTGAAATATTCAGATTGTAAGAGTTAAAGACTCTACTATTTTCCTTTCATAGAGCTACTGAGATATATATCCTAACGACTCCCGCAATCATTGAATTTCTACGGTAGGATCTATTAGACGTAATATATTCAGCATATCTAACTTTTATGGTCTTTAACTAGGTTTAGAAAATCATGAAAATCATATAAATTTATTCAAAAAAGTTGAAATGGAAACCCTTTGAGACAGCCTTTAAAATGTATATTCCAGAAACTCCACGATTTTTATACGGAAATCTAATTAGAGTTATCTATATTCAATATGCCTACGTAATTCGTTAGGTAATGCCTAAGTTCCAATTGATTAAGTAACATTTTTCATTTGGCGTTACTCTCATCACAGAGAGGAATAGAAGACAAGACACGAGATGGAAACAGACTAGATGGAAATAGATGGAAGTAGACGAGTAGACAGGAGAATAGAAGGGATGAGAAGAGAAGAAGAAGGAAATCTTGATGAAAACTGAGAAACGAATGAAGAGAAAAGAAGAGAATATAGGCGGGAGGATAAGAAATGGAAAGTCTAGATGAAAACGGAAAATGAATGAGGAAGGAGAGAAATGATAAAAGTTCAAGTAGTTCAACTATATGTAGAAATAACTGTTACACAATTTTCATTAGGATATGCAAATTTTGATTTAATATTTAAGAACACAAATAATTATTGACATTTGAATAGACTTAGTTTTGGCATTGACGTCGACATTGGTGTTGGGAGTCGTTGAGGGCTCTGGCTGGGCTTACAGAATTTTCGGTCGGCCCAGACTAGGCGAGAGCGACTGGGTCAGACCGCCAGCTGCGAGTCCTCCAGTAGCTGCGCCGAGTGCCGAGCCAACAGCGCCGCCCACATTGCCGATGGGTAGGGAGTCGAGTCCAGGAACGGGCAGCTGGGGCAGCTGGCCGAGCTGCGGGCGTGCCCAGGTGGCGCTCAAGTAGCAAGCTGGATGTGTGTGCAAGGATATCGTCAGATGCGTTCATTAGGCCGAACTAGTTCAGTTCATTTCAGTTCACTTACCGCACAGAATGAGGGCAACGAAAAAGGTCTTGTTGAACATGTTTGCGCTTGAGCTGTATGTTTGTACTGCTTGCCTCAGTGCTCGCACTCGACGTCTTTTATACCAGACTGAAAATAGACAGAGACTTGGCAATGTTTCGATCGGTGCTTCAGCTTGACTTTTGGCACGTACTCAAGCGTGCTGATAGCTCGCAATTAACGGGTGGAGCGGCTCTTCGGCTATCGGCGCTTGTCCACGCCTATCGCAATCGAGCTCTGATTGACTCGTGTTTTCGATATGCACTGATGTGCCGACATATGTATGTTTATCGAGACATGGAGCATGGGCAGAGCACTCGCCACTGCAGCGAAAGAGAGTCTATAGGCTTTCGCATGCTTGTTTATCTCTGTGTGTGCATCCAAAGCATTTCAATGAAGCTTGAGACTTGGCTTGGGTAACAGTCGAATATCATACACCCGATATTCACGACATTCCCGGGGCCCTATATCCATAGTTAGCTGAGAGTGCAAAGCCTTGCAGTTGGCTCGTCTACAACTGGTCGACTAGCTACAGCTAATATAATCTCTGATCCACGCCTCTCAATTGAACTATGAACCTCTGCTGCAGCACCCTGTATGCTGGTCTGTAACTTATTTAAGTTTTTACTTTTAATTACATGGATATTTATGGCGCTCTCATTTGGCTTTCGGTCACGTTTATTGCAAATAATTAAAATTTCAACTGTCAACAAGCTGAAATAAAAATGTCGTGTAAATTGTATTCATGACTATTCATTAAATGCCCTGTAACACCGCGGCTATGAGGGGGTGGCTTGACTAAAGCTAAGTTTCTTACGATTTCGATTTACTGAGTCATATAAATATATTTAGCTCCATTTAATTTTAAGACTATTAGATATATGTATATAGAGACAAGTATCTAATAGTCTACCTATTTAATTTAATTAATCTCAGAGGCTAAGACAATTTTTCTTTATTTTTAAAAATATTTTCTACAAATATTTTATACAATATAATTTATAATTTATATTTAATATAATTTTGTAGCATAAAATGAAAACTCTTGCAATGGAATACTGCTCAACAGGGTATTTCAAGGTCGCATACTGCAGCGCTGCTTATCACATGTTCGTCTATTTAACCATCATACGAGTAGCGTCAGCAAAAAATCATTGTAATGCCCGACTGGAAAGCGAGCAAACTTAAAGAGTTCTCTGCGCATGCGATTAAAGGAATCTGCGAGCTGCTTCAGCGAAAGATTATGATAGTACAGTGGAGATTCAGCTGAGCTGTAGCTAGCACTAGCTAATGCAGGTGTGTGCATTTCAAATGATTGCAGCCAGATGCTAAAGGCCAGCTGCCAGCTGTTGGCCAAGTTTACGTGCCCGCTGGCCAACAGCTGAGCCCACAACTGACCCAGTCAACAGAAACGAAACGGGTCAAATGACTGTACCATGCTCGCCCATAATCAAATTACAATAGCAGAGACTGAGCATAGTTGTAGTCGATGACATGGGGTATACAAAAAGAAGTAGAGAGAAATATGAAGGAGAGTAGATAGAAATATAAGACAATTTGCTCGATATGAATATACATCTCTATCCCTACCTTGCTCAATCTTCATATTAACAAAGGTCTGGTTAATTGGCAGTCAGTCTAATATGCTCACTTTTTACACTGTGGGCGAGTACTCAAAGCTGAAGAAGAAGCAGATGCAGAGCTGAAAGCAAATTGAATGCAATTGGTCTGCTTGACTTCCGGTGGTCAGCTCTGGGTGCTGGCTCAACACGTGGTTGCTGTCGTGTTGTTTCCGGAATCAAAGAAATCATCGGCAAAAGACGACAGCAATTGTTGCTGCTGCTGATGCTGCTGATGCGTGTGTGTGTGTGTGATTATTATCTGGTAGACATGATAAGTAAATAAAGAAGCTCACGTAGCGGCCACACGTTTCCGTGCGACGTGTGCGTGGCCATCAATATAAAAATGCATCTGATGGGCACTTGGCAAATCAGTTCAATTAGCCAAATTTATAGAGCAGCAGCGACAACATCAAAGCTCTCCGAGGCTAATTAAGGACCGACAACATAGAATGCCAGCGGCAGCAGCAACACCAGCCCCAGCTTCAACATCAAACTACACAATGTTGCTGCCAATTGCGATATCACGTCGGCATTTAATTGCTCTCGTTGTGACAACAATATTAGGTAATTAGTGCGCCAGGCGGATGGCTGTGGCTTCCTCTGTGGCTGCAGCCAGTCGAGCCGAGCTGCTAATTGATTTGGCCGAATGAAAGGGAAAGGGAAAAACTAACAACCACTTTTGCATTTGGCATTTGCATTTTCAGCCAGCTGCTGTCAGCTGTGTGCGGCTCAGAACTCGACGTTCGTGGCAACAATTGTCAGCTCGAACAACACGTTGCAGACGCTGAACGAGACGCGGCTCAATGAAACGATAACAATCAATATAAGTGAGATTATTGCAGCTGCGACGGGCGACGGGCCGACTGATAGCACAACAGCAACGACGGACACGACGACAACGACAACAGCAGCAACAATAACAACCACACCTGACGGAGCAACATCGGAATCAACATCAACAACAACACCAGCAACAAGCTCAACGACGCCAGCAGCAGCAACGGACACGACAACAGCAGCAACTGATACGACTACAACAGCAGCAACTGACTCAACAAGCAGCACGACAGCAACACCTGATTCGAGCAGCTCAACTACAGCAGCAACAGACACCACAACAACATCAACGACAACAGCAACAGATACCTCAACAACAACAACAACACTTGCTGCTGAGACAACAACAACAACAACAGAAGCAACATCCAGCACCACACCAGCAGCAGACACCTCAAGCACTACAGCAACATCGACATCCACAGAGGCAACAACGACAACAACAACAACAACAACACTTGCTGCTGAGACAACAACAACAACAGAAGCAGCAACATCCAGCACAACACCAGCAGCAGACACCTCAAGCACGACAGCAACATCGACAACAACAGAGGCCATATCGACAACAACAACAACACTTGCTGCTGAGACAACAACAACAACAGCAGCGACAACATCTAGCACAGCGCCAACAACAGTTGCTGCCAATGCCACAACAACAACAACAACAGAGTTGCCCACAACAACAACAACTACTACAACAGCTGCACCTACAACAACAACGATGACGACAACAACAGCAGCAGCTGCTGCCGAGGTCACAGCAGCAACAACTCTGGAGCCCTTCCCAATCGCTCCATATCCAACCGTTTACGGTCAGCTGGCCAGCCTGGATATAGCCAGGCAGATGCGCAGGCTCAAGAAGGAGCGATTGGGCCGAGTGGGCAGGAAGCCAGGACGCAAAGGCCGCAAGCTGCGCAGGCGCAGCACAACAACAACAACAACAACGCCAGCGACGACAACTGCAGCTGATGATGATGATGACAACAATGATGATGGTGATGATGGCAATGACGATGGTGGCAACGCTGCTGAAGATCCCATATTGGTGGAGCCCCTGCCAGAGTTGCCACTGCGCCTGGGCAACATCGAGAACCAGCGCATCGATCAATGAACACGCATCGATTTATGAATCACTAAGGTAGATTTAACATTTATGACCTAATAAAGCCTCATATTGAACGACTTATATAGTGCATGGTATATAAACTTATCACATGTTTGGCCGTGTAAATTCTTTCGTATAATCAGCGAGAATTGCTAAAATGCCGCACAGCAAAAAACCAAAACAGCTCATTGACAAGCTGCGAACAGCGACTTAGCAACGTACTGGGCATATACGATTTACAGATACGCTGTATGCAGCTAAAGAGTAGCTTGAACTATCTGCACTGGAAAATAGCTTTATCCGCCTACCAGGTCAGATGGAAACATTAGTTAGTCAGACCACCTTGCCGACGGATAGATAGATGTACGGGCGGACAGACAGTCAGACGAATGGACTAGCAGGAAGTTGGACAGATTTACGTATATGTATATAGAATATGTTGTAAAGTGTTAAGTCTGAATCGAGTATATATACTATATATGTAGTTGACTACGTCTTCTTCCACATCTAACACTCATTTCAATTGAACTTTTATTCTCTTTACTTTCAATGAGATTCTGAATTGAATATGCATTGAATAGATTCGTATCACTAATACTGCAGCCTTTGCTCTTGCTGAATGGCTTCAGTACATATTGGGGTATATACATATATAATGAATATACAAAAATGTGTTTATATAAATATTTATGTTTGCCAAAAACTCTTTTGCTTTCGATAGCTCTGAAAAAGTCCATGGCATACACGAGCCCTATCAAAAAAATGCTCAATTCGCAGTATTTGCTATGCACATTCAATATGCAGTGTTATATTTAGACAGAAATAACAAGATCTTCTATATATATACGCACACACACACACGCGCACACGCGCACACAGAGCATTTGGTGTGCAATTAATTTGGCAAATTGTTTGCTCAGCACAAATAGCCATACTAAACAAGCCAACAACAAACATGCATGTGTATATATGCACTATATGCCGACCAGCACACACACACACATATTCGCATCTATTTGCTTGAAGTTGGAGTTGCAGGCGGGCAGCGGGCAGCAGCCGGCGCACGTTTGCCACGCCCCCAATTGCCCGGCGCGCACTAAACAAATACAATTCAACTTCCACTTTCAACACATCAACACATCGCCCACTAGTTGACCCCCTGCCCTCACTGCCCTCACTGCCCACGCCCCCGCCACGCCCCTCTGACTCTGACACCCTCGACCATTGGCCACTACCTCTAGCCGCTGCTAAGCCAAGTCAATTAGCGAGCTGCAGCTCCCCCCTGGGCGAGGTCAGCTAACGCATTCAATTAAAGTTTACCCCTAGCTCTAGACCTTAGCTCTCTCCAGCTCTCGTACTCCCCCTGCCCCTACCCCGGCCCACCCTTCCACCAGCTTCATTAAAACTTTTGCTCGCAAAAAATTATTGCTAGATACATGGAAAACACATTTTGATGCCGCAGACTAATCAAACCTGACAGCCAAACACAACAGGGTTGCAGTGCATTGTGTGTGTGTGTGTGTGTGTGTGTGAGGGGGCGTGGCAGGAGTGAGCAGCTGAGCTTAAGTTATCAATAAGCCGAGTGCGGCCACATGGCGCAGTGATTGGACGCATAAGCAAAATAACTGCACACGTGCTTATCAGCTGCAGTGCAGCACGTGCTTGGCCGTAGCTTTGCTGCAGTTGCTCGTGTTTTGGGCTGGCCTTAAAAGCAGCTGGCTGCCGAGTAAGCGTTAGCAATTTGATCCAAGCAACAACATGGCCAACACACCGAGGCAACAATTGGTGGTGCTCTTGATCGCTGCCATGGGTAGGTGATAAGTCAGGTGTTTTTCACTGGGTTTTTCAGTGGGTCTTTTCCGTTTCAGCAGCGCTGCAGCTGTCGCACGCTTGGCTCTTGAAGCTGCCCAAGCTGGAGGACCTGAGCGAGAAGCTGGATGATAAGCAGCAAAAGGAGGCGCTGAAAAAACTCGATTTCCTCAATCTGTTCGCCGCCAAGGAGGAGAAGAAGGCGGACGAGTGGGAGAAGATCAAGGAATGGTTCGAAGATAAGAAACTCAAGCAGCTGGACATCTTCGAGGCCCTCAAGGAAAAGGAGCAGGCCAAGAAGGAGAAGATCCTAGAGAAACTGGAGGAAAAGATCGAAAAGAAGGCCCAGAAGAAGCCCAAGAAGATGCCACGCCCAACCACAGAGTGCAACAATCAGTACTACGAGTACACGACCAAGCCCAGCTATAAGCCCGAGCCCGAGGCGAAGTATCCGGAAGAGGAGGCCGAAGAGGAGGAGGAGGAGGAGGAAGAGGTGGTGGTGGTTAAGAAGCCCAAACAGCCCTGCAACTGTAAGGAGGAGGTGAAGTCCTACGGCTATGTGCCCACAGCGTACGACGTGCGCGACGACGACGAAGAGGGCATACGTTACTTTACATAGACAAAAAGAGAGAGAGAGAGAGAGAGGGAGAGAGACGGAGCGAGAGAATGTGGAAGACGGAACTGTATATAGTCTCACATGTTGCATAATTACATACATTTTCTATATTTTTTTAATAAATTTTATGAAAATACTTAGATGTGTGTGGCACTGTGGGTTGCCTAGGCGGTGCTTGGGGTGTGGGCTACTATTTGATATTTGTCTTGTCGCCTGCATAACATTTGCATATAAATTGAATTCCCAGGTTTCGTTGAACTCCATCCACTCTCTTTTCGGTAGACAGCCAATATTTTACACATTTTATGTCAGGGAGCAGCCTCAGAGCTTGGCCTGGCCGGGCCAGATCCATCACACCACAGACCCAGCCGAACTCCCAGCATCCAACACCCAACACTCACACGCAAAACCTAGAGAATCATCCGCATCGGTTCTGTCAGTCGCGCCGCTTCATCAAAGTTGTCAGCGGCGGCAATGACACATTGTCCCCATTATTTGCATAAAAGTAAGAGAAACTCTCCCCCCCACATTTACCATCCCTACCATCTACTATACATCCCCAGCCCCCCTGGCACCAAGCCATTTTGCAGTGAGGCAAAGTGGTTTACCCTGTCGTTAGGACAGATAATGACAAAAAGTACTCGCATCATCAGAGCTACCAAAAGCAAAAAAGTGAAAAGTGAAAAGCAAAAGAGCAAAGGGGAAATGGCAAATGGCAAATGAGCAGCGACTCGCGAATGCACTTAATATCGTTGTCGGGTGGCAACGCTGCAAATGTCATCGATAGCTCTGATAACTAATTAATCGATTATGATGTGAGCTGAGTCACTTGAGGGCTCAAGCCTCGGTAAGTTGTTGTAGTATCTTTAGTAGTAGCAAAAGAACTTTCTTTTTGGGTTTTGATCAAAGCTTTATCTGTGCAAGCCCCAAGCGAGGCTTTGTTGACAGATCTCATAGAATAAGATCCTATTTTAGGTAAGTTAGCTAAAATTTCAGGCACTCAGTCCATGTTTAGCACAGGTTTTCTACTTTGCCGGGTCTTCTTCAATACTTTTACGGCGAACTTGCCTTATACTCTTTTGTTACTCATCTGAATCCAACCTATAGAGTGTACCTCTACACAAGCTGAAGCTGTGACTGAAGCTAAACCAGTCAATCCTTTTGCATTATTCCAGAGCTCTGTGTTAAATAACTGGTGAAATACATGTAGTTATCGATTAGTAGTTACTTTTTTCAGTACCACAATCTAAATTTGATAAGCAGAAGCAACATTAAAGCTTTAACCATAGGAGAGAGCAACGTCTTTAAAAAGCACTCAAAGATGGATTTTCTTTGCCTCACGCCAAACTCTGGCAAGCGGACATTAAAACAATATAAGAGTTTCTATTAATTTAATGCGAGTTATGAAAATGAATTATACGAATCGAATCTCTGCAATCAATAAAGAGGCAGATTTTTATAGCTGAGCCGTTAGTCGAGCCCAGCTGGAAAATCAATAAAGGCCCATTATATGTTTTATGGCCCACAATTAAAGAGCCCAGCCAGAAACAGAACCAGAAAGCTGAGGGCTGAGATCTGAGGGCTGTAGTAGAGCGCATATATATGTATATATTTGTGTTTTTATAGGGTATTTCTTTTCGCACATTGTAACTAGATTAGCTGCAGCGGCTGCCCCCCAGGCGGCTGTTTGCAGTCCCCAACATAATCAGAATCTTTCGCCAAACTATGATTATTTTCCAATTGTATTGCCCACTGCACGAGGGGTGTTCGCATAAAAGTTAGCCGTGCGGGGTATGCGGGGCAAGGGGACTCCGTTCGTCAATCGAAGACAACAAAAGTTTTGGGCAAACTTCTGGCCCCAAGACACCAGCGGCCCAACGGAAGCCGACAAACAAATGCACAACCGAGTCTATAAGTCGAAGAATTTCTATGTGAAACAGCATGGAGCTGATTGACTTAGGGTTACCCTGTACAGGAAAATCGAAACAGGCGTAGTGCTGTAGCAGTAGAGCTGCAATGAGTCTCAATTTAAAGTCCCGTTCTAATTAATGCTGAGTATTCAGTTTACTGTGATTGTAGTTAGTTTGCTTTCGCAGAGTATATAGGGTATACAGTGTCGAAGCCATCCTGTATTATTTTTGGATGCAATTGACTTGCGTCTCACTCCATTTAATCCCAGAATATATCTCTTCCTTAGGTAAAATTCGCAGCACATCCCATACTCATGTACATTTTACAGGGTATTGCGCGAGGGCTGCAACCAGCCCCACCGCAGAAGTTGGTCAAACTCTTGTGCAGCTTTTTGATAGCCCAATTTCTTTCATTGCTTCTCTCGCTCTGCTTCGCTTTCCTTTTGCTTGAAAGGATGGAAGGGGGTCAATCTTGTTAATTTCGACTTAGTCGTTGGAGGGAGATGTCCAGAGTTGTCTGCCTAATTTCGTCTATGTTTGACGGGGGGTTTCCAAGTCAATGCCCCAAACCAGCTGCCGCAGCTCTATCTTTGCTATCAATCCCAGCTACTCCATCTATTTATCTAACTCTACGACTGTCTGTCTATCTGTTTGACTGCTCGTCTGTTCGTTGGGGTAACATACGCATGTGGCGCTTGGGGAGCTTAAGACCTTAGATGGGGGGTGGTGGGCAGTCAGGTTGGTGTCCCGTAATCGCAATTAAGATAATCAAAAAAGTTTTGACTGTGGACTGTCGAAACGCCGTTTTTACTTTCGTCTGCGACCTATGCTTTTTTCCTCAGCACAAAAACTTACTTTCCTTGGCTCTCCTTTTCACGGTAGCCGGGTCGTCGTAGACGGGGCTGGGGTAGAGGGCGTGGCACAACGTATGCTACAAGTTTCTGCAATGCAACAAGAAAACTGTCGTCGCGGACCAAGATGAGCTTGTGGCAGGAATTGAGATTTAAGCTTAGCGAAAAAGAAACGACATTCAAATGCTAAAGTAGTTGAGTATGAGACTAAGAGATACCCTGTAAGCAGTCGATTTCTATATCGTACAAATACTTTTGATGAGCGCTCCAACAGGAGTGATTCTCTTGCTAATGGATGCCTATCAGCAGATGCTCAATAGCTATGAAATACCTGGGACTAGCCATAACTCTTAATAGGTGAAAAATCTTACCTAAGAAGACTTTCACTTTACTCCTGTTCAATATTCCAGAAGACATAGCACGGAAAATACACCCAAATATATTGCCATTCATCTAGTTTCTAAGTAAGATCAGAAAGGAACTTAAGTCTTTTCAATTTCTCTATATCTAAAACCAATTGTTACTCTTTTCTTATCACTATACAAAACAATTTTAGGCAAATTTTAGAGAGTTCTTCTTTTGTTTCTAAATACCATTTACCCTCATATAGCCTCGACTCGAAAAATCTGTAGATATTATATGCAAATCTAAGGACTTCGACTCATTGAACATTTGCAAGTTCACAGCTTGTTGCATACCCTGTAAGTTTTATATAACTTCCATGCCGAGTAAAAAACTTTGTCTGGTCAAGATGCTGAAGAGGGTGGGGAGGATAGGCGGCCAGAGTTGCCAGGCGACGTTTACTTTGTGCGCAAGTTTATGGCCCAGAGTGTTGTTGTTGTTGTTTCTGCTGTTCGTTTGGTTTTTGTTATTGCATACTTTGCGGCTATTACGAGCATTTGCGGCTCTCAACTTGAGTTTAAAGTTTTATTGCGGGCGCCAAGCAAAAGCGAAAGCCACAAAACAGAGGAGGAAAACTGAAACGGAGAGATGGTGGAGTGGGGGAGTGGCAGAGTGGCGGAGTGGGAAAGGCGAAGGAGAAAACTGAAAATGAAATCGAAACTAAAATAAATGAAGTTGCCAATTAGTTGAGTGGGCGGCCGGGGCGTGGCAATAACTATGCACTAAATCTGTCTGAGATTTTTCCAACTCATGAGCAGAGCAAAATCAATTCGAATCACATCAGGTAACGCATAAATCACACGCATCCAGGTAAAAGTTGAACAGACAAGGAGAGTGGAAGCGAGAAGGAGACAGACATAGAGAGGGAAAGCAGCGTTTAGCGTCTTCCGGAGCAAACGAAATGAAAAGCCCCACACGAAAGTTGGACATGAAGACGAAGGCGACCCAGCTCAAACGCAATGCGAATCGACAGGCGACGAGACAGCGCACAGACACAAAACCCCCTTCGCCCACCCACCCAGCCGGCAACCCCCAGCCAGCCCTGGGCAACCAGGGCAACAACGACAATAGCTGGCCAAAAGGGAATGGGCAAGAGTTAGACAAAGTGGCCAAGGGTTGCGTCTGTGGATTGGCGATAATCAGCAAAAAGAATCAAAGCAGAAACGTGCCGAAGTCCAAAGGACTTGCCACAACGACAGGCAGGGACAGACGAGGTCGGACGTAGCAGAGCTGCCAAGCGCCGCTGAAGTAATTTATGCAAATCGTAACTAAGTCGAACTTGTCGTAATCCCATTTTCACTTACCTCCAACGATTTGGCATTTAAATATTCGAATGTTATCGATATGTTTTCTCATCGATAGTTAAGCTGCGGGCCTAAATATGCAATTACTCTTCGATAGTTGTGTAGAGGTAAGACTTAGAAAGAACCACAAAATTTGATGAGACCTAAAAAAATTGATACATATTTTTCCGGGGGTTCCTAATATATTTCATCACAATATAAAGCCAAAGAACCCCTGTCAGAAGAAGACTCTATGCAGCTATCTAAACTAGAAGCTCATGGCTTTCTTTTTTACCGTTTTACCTGTCTTCGTGTTGTAATCCATCATTCTAATCCTAAAACTCTAAATCATCTCTCTTACACATTTGTTGGGCTTGTGTTGGGTAGTCAATGAGATCTCATCTTGTCATCTTGCTCTTTAATCTCTTGTGCCTCGCTTTCAAAAGGCTTACAGTTTCGTGTTTCCGATTCGGACTACGACTGTCTATAACCTTCGGAAAACATATTTTATTTCTAGCCTCGTCCAGTACTTACTTGACAGAATGCATATCTTCAAGATAATAGTCTTTTCGAAATAATTTTCTAAGTATTTATGTATATACTAGCTGGCCCGGCAAACGTTGCATTGCCCTCTATATTATTTCTAGGTAAAAAATTGTTGAAAGCTATGTTGTTCAGGCTGGGATACACTGATAAATTTATTAATCGGATTTTCATTCAAGCACCTTGTTGTAAACGACATTCTTCGTTTTTTGGTCGGGTGCAAGAACAAATAATGCGGATCGTTTGCCAACACGTGAGCATGCCACGTACAATTGACCATGAGAAAAACACGCATTTTCTAGATTGAGGCCACAAATAGTCAANTTTTTTTTTTGAATAGTCAGGTCTGCTCGAGGTCAGGAGACCGTAGACTGACTGACTACATTTGTTTATTTACTTCTACACTATTGTCAAAACTGTCACTGTTACCAAGCCTACTGGGTATAAAAAAAATTTGAACATTTGGGGAAAAAACCGCGTTTTTCAAGTATTCGGCAAATTTTTTCAGTATTTTTAAGACCCTATACTAAACTCGTTGCGGAGACAAATCCAACAAATCAAAAACCATGAAAATTGGTTCAGCCCAAATCAAGTTATAAGCAGTCTTCACTTTTACACAACTTTCTTTTATATATATAGATTATGTATTAACCACGACGTCATAACATATTCTCCTGAATCTAAGTAGGCGAAATATGAACACTCAGTGATTACCGAATCCCAGTAGGCCGTGACTTAATTGTCTATACATTTTGAGGTAGGCTTACGAGCTAAATGAAAATCGTCAGTTCACATCTTCCGCCCAGGTTGATAACATCTCCTAACAAAAATTCAAAATTTATAAAATATTTTCCTCATAAATGTGTAAATTTTAGAGAAATTGTAAAACCAAAATTAAAATTGTAAAATTAATAGTAAAGCAAAAATTTAAAGCAGTCCGGTATGAAAAATTCGTGAAAAGTTACCAGTGAATCGTTGTTAGTCTAATAATGTAAAAGAAATTTGTTGTGGAATGACCAAAAACTCGAAGAATATTGTGAAAAATGAGCAGAGAATAATGTTGTTATTATAGTTGTGTAAGAGACACGTATTAATCAAAGAAAAGCGGGGAAAACACCGCGAAAATTGTAGAAGATGACGAGAACATAATTGTTATTGTATTAGTAATGTAAGAGTCTTGTGAAAAATGTCAAGAAATAAGTGTTATTCAAGTATTGCATCAAGATGGTCCATGGGCAACTGATTATTGTTGTTGCTGTCCAAATTTCAAGTGATTTCAGATGTGAGACAAATTTTAGTGAAACGTCAAGGCCTCTGGCAATAACTGACAGTTGTTGTTGTCTTCTAAATTGCAAGTAAGGGTGTGAAACAAATTCCAGTGAAACGTACAGGCGTCTTGACAGCCTGCAGAGATGTGTTAAGGTGAGTTTGACAGCTCTCCAGTCCCGAAAATTCATTCTCACTTTTCATCTTCAGTTAATTTACAGAGTTTAATGAAGCTTACGAAGTTACACGGCGAACGCCGCTGAAGGATATGGCCGAGTTTCACAAAATTCAATGTGTTAATAAATATGCTACATGCTACAGAGACAAAACGGCTTTCTTATTTTTGGTTTAGCCTAAAGTCCTGTGTGATTAAGTGGTACACAAATTCCAGACTAGACTAAGTGCTGGGCATTATTTGTGTCCCGCCGCGGGGTAGGGGAAGGGTTGCTGTGTGTCGATGCAGATGAAGAAGCGGAAGCAATTAACAAAGGGCCGGGCCGTAGCTGAGGCCGTGGGCGGAGCGAGGTAAAGGCAACGGCAAACAAATCTCCGAATCCCCGAATCAATTGAGCCACAAAAACCGCTTCGGTCAACAGAAAATTTTGAGCGCTCGCCACGCTTCGCTGGGCGCAACTTTCGCTTTCCCTCAGTTTCCTCGGGCATAAGGTCGGTGCGCCGGGGTCGGGGTGGCCATCGCCAATTGAAGCAGAGCAAAGCAAACAAATTAAATAATGTTAATAACGAAATCTTGTTTTCAACATAAACAGCAAATATGCAAATGTCTTCATAGCAACGAAACCTGCTGAGCTCGCAGCTCGCTGCAAATTACCAACGGCGGGCAGGGAGCCGCCCGACTGGGCCCAACTGAATCTGCTTCGGTCTCCCGGACACACGCCCAGCCAACCCTACCCTCCCTTCCACTCTCCCCCTGTCCGCCTGCCCGAGCTCTTTGTATACAATGCAGAGAGATGCGAGCACAGAGATATGGCCAGCCGGGCGTTTGAACCCGAATATCTTGCATTACTTGTTGTTGTTGTTGTTGTTGTTGTTGTTGTTGTTGTGTCTCTCAAACAAAGAGGCAAAGGAATATTATTTCAGTCAGACAATTTGCATTTAGATCTCTAAGGGCAAACAATTCAAGAAGGGAGCAAGTCCGAAGCCCTGAAAATGGAATACAAATCGAATTAAACAGATTTATTGATTAAATCATTCAAATCTATAAATGTTTTAATATCCATACAAAACGCAAACACCTAGATTAGAATTCCTTCCAACCGTATAGCTCCCCAAAATTTATTCTCGCTTTCCTTTAGTTTTTTATTGCATTCCCTCTGTTCAGCTTCCCAAATGAAAAAGGCAAAATGCATAGCACTGATTTGACATATGTACAAACAATGTAGAAATTTTTCCTGTAGCAATTAGAGATGGAGAAACATCGATACTGACGATAGTTAGTGACGATAGATATTTAAGAACAGTCGATAGTAACGCTAGTGAGACTGCAGAGAGGTGACACAATAAGAATTTTGGGTGATTTCTGCCCTAGACTCACAGTTATTATTTAGAGTATGGGTATTTTCTCTCAGTGTATCGCTAGTTTACTGCATGAAGATTGCATTTTGTCCAGTGAGTGTGAATGACGAGCGAATCGGCAAACGGGAATTGCATTTTGATATGTTGGAGTCAAGTTTATTTATATGACACACACACACACACACACATCTACACTCACTATTGCATGCAGGTATTACCTGATATAATTCCTGTCAAACAGGATGCGGCGCAACGTCCAAGAACGGGCCCTGGGGGTTGGTTGGTTTTTGTGTTCTTTTTTTACTTTTTTGGGGGTAGGGAGATGATGGGGTCGGACTTGGGGCTGGGGGTCGAGTCCGGCTCGCGTCAGTCAGTCAAGTGTAAAATTAAAAAATATCAACAGAAAATTCCTTTGGCGGTGCTTCAATTTTCTGTGCGAGTTTTACACAATTTCGTGTTGTTGCTATTCGAAAATCTGGCTGCGCGCCAGGCGCAAGCAACGGGGTATATTGGTTTGTAGATAAGTCAAAAGGAAAGACCAGTCCTGCCATCACAGGAATGTGCGAGTGAGTGTGAGGATTCCTCGAAGCTGCATGGATCACATATGATGAGAGTTTTGGAATTTTGATGAAAGCGAATCAACTTTCAATAGTTTTCAGTGACTGCAGCTCAGCCAAAGGCTTAAACGATCCATCGGGACTAAGGACAAGGCACTCGCTTTTCTTTTATACTTGACATAGCTTTTGAAACTTCAAATCAAATTTACTCTCTACTCTCTGATTAATCTTTCGTTTGTAAGAAATCTTGATTCGTTATCGCTTATTACAGAGTATTCTGCAGTCAGGCTTTGCTGCAACTTTGCTGTGGCTGTGGCTGTGGCTGTTGTCGTTAAGCAGCAACAAAAGCAACAGGAAGTACAACAATTCCATTGTTGTTGTCCGCTCGCAATTAGCAGGCATTGAGCCAGCCTGACGCTGGACCGCAGGCTGTTTCCAAACCTCGGCTGTTTGGCTGCCTGACTGGCTGCGTTGCCTTAAACGCATTTGGCCATAATGCGAAAAGCACACGGCTCGCTGACCAGGTAAAGCATAAAGCCAGAAAGCCTCGACGACTGCAGAGCAGAGCAAAGCAGAGAGCAGAGCAGACGGGGCGGGGCGGACGTCTCGCAGCTTAACTCGCAAGCAAATCTCGGCAATTTGTCAACTTTCCTCATTTCCAGCATGACAAATCGCTAGAGAGCCTAGCACAAAGGGAACTAGGACTGAGGCATGGAGGGTGCATCCGAACTAATGTCAAAATTCAATTGGAATTGACAATATTTGCGCAAAAGGCAAATCATAACAAATAGAAAATAATATTATGCAAATGCTGAGAGTAAAGAAAAAAGAGCAGAGTGGACCGAAGATGGAGCGACGAACTACTCCGCAAAGGAGAGTTGGGGAATGAGGAATGAGGGATGAGGGTTGAGCGTTGTGGGCTGAGGGCTGAGGGCCGCGGGCCGTGGGCTGTGGGTCTTGAGGGTTGTTGATATTGTCTTTGGGCTCTCGCTGGCATTCTTATCACATTACGTAACAGGCCGCAGACTTGAGCTCGAATAACACAAAAACCAAACCAAAGAATTGCTCATGTGTGCGCAGAGGGGGTGTATCGCTGGCTGGGGCTGGGGGTCTACGAAATTGTGGGTATGCATTTCGCATTTGATTCGGCCGAGGGTTGGCGAATGCGGAAACACGCATCAACATTCATTTAGTTTTGCAAAAGATGTGGCTAACAGATAGCAGCGGCATTTTCATTGTTTTTACCCCAGACACCGACCCCCCACCGCCCCTGCCACTCTCACTCTGGCTCACACTCTTGGTGTCCTCGTTTTAATGTGCTCCTTTAATTTTCCAAAAAAAAAGCGATTTTAAAATGCAAATTTTCCCATTTCTGAGGCAGACAATCAATAGAGAGCAGCTCAGACTTTAAGAAGCTTTAAATAAGTACAGGAGACTATTGAATGGCAGCTATGGGCGAACTGTATAAAGACAGGCGAGAAGCGTAAGAGGCAAGAGACCTGAGCTGATAGACATTTTGTATCTTGGAGCAGGCTCATTAGCAACTTCATGCCTCTAACTCGCCTATTTCTCTCCATTAAACTCTCTCACATGAAGCCTCCTCCCATTTGATTTATCTATCTCTCTCTTTCATTATCTTCCTCTCCTTTTCTTTTATTTCTCTCTCTCTCTTTTCTCTGTCTCCCTTTTGCTATGTCCCTCTCTCGCTTTCTCATTGTTTTCCTTCCTCTTCTCTCTCTCTCTTGCTCTGTCTGTCTATCTCTATCTCTCTAATCTCTCTGCAGCTCTCTTTTTGTTTGTATCTCCTATCTCTTTGTGATTCTCTCATGCTGTGCATTTATCTCTTCTCTCTCTCTTTCTCTCTCTCTCTCTCTCTCTCTCTCTCTCTCTCTCTCTCTCTCTCTCTCTCTCTCTTGCTGTGTCTGTCTTGCTGTGTCTGTCTATCTCTATTTCTCCAGTCTCTCTGTAGCTCTCTTTTTGTTTGTATCTCCTCTCTCTTTGTATTTTTCTCTGTCTTTTATACATCTCGATCTCCTTATGCATCTCTTTCATTCTATCTTATTCTGTAGGTTTCGATAAGCCAATTCCTCGTGAATATTCTAATTCCTGCCTATCCATATCATTGGCTGCCCAATTTTAGCTTCCTCGAATTCTCTTGGCCTCTTCATTGTTTCCAAATTAATCTGCACTTTAGTTCACCCTCCCATAGCTTTCACTCTTAAGGGCTTCTCATCAGCCCTGCTGATGCCTTCACTCTTAGTCAAGCTGCTCGCATTGTTTTGTACTCAAAGCTAAGACTCGCTTCTGTTCACGGCATTTACTTACGCGTCTCGCTTTGTCTAATCTCTCAACTCTTTATGTGGCCGAGTTAATACTAGCAAACGCTTCTCGCTTCTCGCTTGTCGGTTCACGCCTTCGCTGGGCTATTCACCCCTGGAGTGAAGTTGAGCCCCCTCTTGTGCATTACATTTCTAATCCAGTGTTGACCATAAAACATAAATGAATTTCCCGAGCGGGCGAGCGAGCGACGCGTCGACAGCAACCTCATAATTTTCAATTTGTATGCCCAATATTAATATCGATTGTGGCAGACAGCAAACAGCATCAACTGCCGCCCCGCCCCGCCCCGAGCCGCGCCGCATCGGAAGGGAGAAAAGACATAACAATAAAATGTTTATGCCGTGGCTAACCCTTTCGCAGCAATGGGCTGGCCACGGGGCCTGGCGCATGATGTAAGGGCAGCGCGTTAAAGGCTTACTAAAAACAACAGCTACACCCCCAACTCCCCCCACACTCCCCGCCCATGCGTTTTTTGGCCCTTGTCATTTTAGACACAATTTAAGTAAGCGTAAAACTGCAAATTGCTGCTCGGCAGCCCCTGCCCGACCCAGTGTTGCTGGCTGCGCGCTGCCAGCTGAGCCCAGCCCCGAGCGGGGCGCAGCAGACGAGACCAAACAGTCGAGTCGAGGTATGGCGAGACGAGGCGAGACGACGATAAATTCAACTAGCACGCGTCTCGGCACTGTAATGCACTTTAGCAGAGACTCTCGACTGGCGACTGGSGACTCTTGAGTGGAAAGTGAAATGAGTAGCAAGCCGACAAGGGAGTAGGGATGGGCTGGGATGGGCACAGGGACTTGGTCTTGGGCACATTGTCTCATTGTCGCGCGCTGCTGGCCAGACGCTTTGCATAATGAGATGGCAGCCCTCGAAGCTGGGAGAGAAAGTCAAGTT